TAAGGAAGCTGCAAATTAGCAACAAAACCAGAGCGGGCCAGCCTTGGGGGACAAGATCTACGTGACCTCAGGACTGAGTTTGCACAGAAGTAAGGGTCAACTGGCGGACACAGCAAAGAAGCCTACGAGCCTTCATCTAAAGACCTCTGACAACCACCTGAAGACTCCAACAGACATGCACAAGAGACGTTAACATACGCTAATGAGTGCCTGGGAAAGTTATGAATATGATCAAACACGGTAACAAATTCAATGAATATGTATGATTAAGGTAGTATAAATGCTTGTTGATTTCATTTTCACACACACGCATTAGGAGGAGCTATCCCCTGTGTGTCTGGCACCATAATAAAGAATGCCTGCTTTCTAAAACTCCAAAATTGAGACTTAGAGAGTGAATGAATTACCGCCTTCGGGTAACAATGCAACGCCTTACATGAGTGATTGGCTGCAGTTCTTTCCCACGTTATGCAAAACCGTGACATCCTCGTGCCATCGTTCAGGTGTACGTAGTGTCAGAAAGCGTGTCCCGCTGCAGTCGCCCTCCTCACATAGGCTACATGTTCCCTTTCGCTGAAAATACTGCGCTGGTTCCCAGCTGAGAGTGAGCACCTTCCTCGGCAGAGCATCCCCATATCGTGTTTAACTGGGCTGATTAAACAGCTCTGAATCTGTAATGACTCCTGAGTCAAAAGGCGCTTGACAAATCTTCGTTGCAGTTTGCAGAAGTTGTTAGGCAGTGTGAAGAAACGCAGTAACGAGAGAGAAATTAAAAAAAAAAAAAAAAAGGTAAAATAGGTTTCACCACTAACATCGTCACCCATTGCTTTTGCATATATCTCAAAACAGAAAAAGACATCGAGTAATCTCTCTCCTTTCATGCAGGGACACATTCTCAGGCTGATGGTGTGTTTTTCAGGGGCTGCGTCCTGCTGTGTATTCCCACGGTGCTTGGTACCGCGCAGCTCCAAACTCAATCAGGGCCTCTGTGTGCTACTGTTGAATTAATAATAAACAATAAAACCAGTGCAAATGCTAAAGTTATGCTGTGAAAGGGGAACTGAAAATAAGTCTTCCTCTGGAACCTGTCTGGAGCTGTTGTTATTCATGCTATTATTTCTCTCGCTCTATTTACTGCTGTTTGGGCACACGGGTGAGCGCCGCCAGGACTGGCCGTGGCTCTGGGAGATGTTGGCTGGCTCGGCCCACGTCGGAAACTTGCCAACACGGGAGCTGGCACTGGAGCATCTCTTCAGGATAGGGGCGAAGCAGAGCCGAGGTGAAACCTGAACAGAGAGGGAGCTGGGGGACAGGAAATAAATTATTCACTCTCTCTCCATTGATGCCGGGAAATCAGATAGGACCCAGCTGAAGAAGCTCCCTCAGACTTCCCTGGATTGGGAACGGCACGAGCCCACTTGCAGGATAACTGGTGTGACACACAGCTCCGGCTGAAATGTCCCCTGAAGCGGCTCTGGTCCTCAGCCAGAAATCCTGCACCTCCTGGCCGAGGAGGGGGAAGGAGGACTACCCTAAAGGATCTGGAATCAACCCACATCTGAGGGGCAAAAGAAGGTAACGGGGCCGGGCAGAGCTGCCCACTTTGCCCAGCCGCCTGCCCAGTTGGGGCTAAAGACCAGCTGAGGAGGTATCAAGAAAGCGATGCTGCGAGACACGGTCCCTCCAAGGGCCACCACAGGTTGGCGCAGGGACAGGCACCCTCCCGGCCTCGCAAGCCGTGTACCTGATTTTTCACATGGCTGGAGACACAGGACATGCACCCGGCAGCTGGGAGAGCTGAGAGCACCATCCAGCCCCCGCTCCAGCAGCTGAAGGCCAGTCCCTTTGGAGGAATGACTCCTGGCTACTCGCTCAAAATGTTGGGGTGTACCATTGCCTCTGGGTCAGCCTGAGAGTCTCATCTGAGCCAACACAGGCTGAACCCCGGCTTCAGATAGCTGGCATCCAGGTGGCTGGTAAACCTACGAGCCCAGTCAGCTCAGCTGGTGGCCACATCCTGCTACCTACAGCCCTTCTGTGGGGTGAGGGTCAGGACACGAGCAAAGCGAGGAAGAAGGCAATGAAGCCACTGGGTGGAGGAGATGGTATTAGATATATCCACAAGGTTATCTGTGGAAAAAAAACAAACTGATGAATAATAAGAGCCACCCACACCACATCCAGAGGATTAATAAATTAGGAATAAGTAGATAATTCGGTGTTATTATAAGGAACATGTGCCTTAATCCACCACTGCCTGCAGTACAAAAAGGGATGCAAACCCAGGGCCATGAAGGTGGTGGTATCCAGACCTGGGTGGGCTGGAGCTTCCCACAGATGTGGCACCTGGAGTTTGCCCTCAGGATCCCCTGGGGTTTACGGAGAAGGATGTGTTTGACAGACACCACACCATGGGGAGATTGGTGCCCCTGGGGATGGCTCCTGCTCTGCTACCTCCTCTCTCCCTGCCAGGAACTGCAGCACCATGCAGAAGCCATCCGAACTCCCACCACAGGGGTGCTGACCCGTTACACATAGTGTAAGTGCTGCACATTACAGTTACATCAAGTTACTGCAAACATTCATTAAACAATTCAAGCAAACACCTACCTGTAGAGCCAAATCCTGCTGCCAGCTGCACAGGTGTAACACAGCTAAGCCATTCAGCATGAGGGTGGGGGGGAGAGGCTGGTTACCCAGCTAGCGTGAAATAATTAAGGAGGGCATATCCAAGTGTTAAACACGCTTAATCAACTCCCAGAGACCTTCCACCTCCCCAACTCCAGTTCCCGCAGGTGAAGTAATACCCGAGGCTGGAGGCTTTGCTGGAGGGACTCTGCGTGCAAACCTGCGTGAAAAAGCCTATACAGACCGAGAGGTTCTTCGTTTGGAGGATGTTTCATTGCCTGCCCTAAGCTGGCAGACAGTGGGAAGGGAACCAGTATGAACTGGAGGGCTGAGGGTCCGGCTGTGCTGGCACTGCAGCTCATCTTCCTTTCACAGAGCTGCCCCCACCCCTGGAAACATTCAAGGTCGAGTGGACGGGGCTCTGAGTCAACCTGATCTAGTTGAAGATGTCCCGTCTCATGGCAGGTGGAATAGGTGACCTTTAAATGTCCCTTCCAACCCAAACCATTCTAAGATTCTGTGACAGGATGTGATGGGGGAGTGTCCACTCCCTACCTCCAACCTGCCCCTCGGAAAGTGTCCCAGATGAGGGATGGCTGCTCACTTTTTAGGGTGCTACTCCTAATGGGCAGCCAAGGGTGGGCTTTAAATGCTTGTTTCTCTCTCCCATACATTTGCCTCTAGCTCCTGCACTGAGCTCTTGAGCCACGAAGCCGATTTGTAGACTCTGCCAAGAAAATGGATTCGGACTTGGGCAGAATGAAATGGTGCTAGAGGGGGGTGAAGCACGTTCCCCATGCCGCTGCTCTGCCCTTTGCTCCCTTGCTGCTAACTGGACTCTCTGCAGAGGTGTGACGTGGAGGTGAGGAGGATGTAAGCCATCCAGCCAGTCATTCTGCTTTGTCAGCCTCCGTGCTGATGGTGGGGTGAAGCACCATCGCTCCGCCTGCATCTGGAGTGGAAGCAGCTGGTTTTGCTGCGTACCTGGCTTGCTTGGCCAGGTCCAAACCCAGTTCATCCAGAACTCCGGGGCATTTTGGACACCTATGTAGCAAAACCAAACCTCTCCCCTCTTCATTTATTTCTCCTCTTTCATTCATATCCCCCAATTCATGGGGATTTAGCTTTCAATACGGGGAATTTTATATTGATGGGACCTTCAGAGATGTCCTGGAGCTGTATATGACCTTACAGAGTGCCCACAGCATTCTCACCTCACCCTTCATCTGGCTGCTCCCAGCAAAGCTGCTGCCTGGTTTGAGTTGAGTGTCCTCATAATGAAGAGCTAGAGTTGTCCCGTGGTACAGCTGGTGGAAACGCAGTGCTGAGCATCTGCTCACCTGAAGCATTTGAGCGGTTGAGCTTCAGTTGTGTCCAGGCTGAAGCAGACAAGCAGATTCAGAACGGTTTTGGCCTCTGCTGCCGAGCTTAGGGAGCCACGTTCCAACCCAAGGGCTTGCTTTTCAGTCCTGTTGATACAGGTTGTTGGGGACTCTGCAGAAGCCAGCGGACCGCTGGTAAGCAGCTGCTCTGCGCAAAAGCCACGGGCCAAGGAGCTCGAGCCACCCCTAAGGCTGGACGGCTTCTCCGTGGGGCATCTCTCCCCGTCTGTGCCGATGGCCGTGGTGGTACCGTGGCTGCCAGGGAAGCCCAGGTGACTCCCAAGGCTGCAGCCTCAGAGATGCGAGGTGTGTATTTCGCCGCCTTAGCCTCCCGGAGTCAGGGGGGGGGGGGGTTCTCCCCAAAATCTGGACTCCCCATATTCGCAAAGGGCCTTTTTCCTGCTGTCCCCCCTTCCCAGGGACGCGGTGTCTGTAGGGTGAGGGACACCAGGGACGAGAGCCCGAGGCTTTGCTGCGGCGCGATTTGGAGGCTCACCAGGCACCCCTGCGTGGGGGGCAGGCACCGGGCAGGGGTGCGGCACCACCGAGTGCTCCCCCCGGGGATAGCCGGGTGTCACCCGAGGGGGCCCAGCCTGACCCCCCCGGGATAGCCGGTGTCACCCGAGGGGCCCAGCCTTACCCCAGCGCAGGGGTGCGTGGCAGAGGGGTGACGGGGGTCCAGAGGGTGTGAGCGGGTGGGGGGGGGGGGGGCTGGCCCCGCGCTTCTGCTAGGCCCTACCAAAACAAAGCGGGGCAGCACCCCTGCCTCCCTCTGCCTTTGCGGCAGTGGTGGGGTGCCTCTGGGCTGGGAAGGTGTTCACGCACGCCCCCTCCCCCAGCACACCCCAAGCAAACACACCCCACACCCCCACACCCCCCCCCAATTCCTGCACCACGGCCGCCCCGACGTGCCCACCCCTGCGCGATGTGGCACCGGCGGCGGGCGGGCGGGCGGGGGGGGGGGAAGGGGGTGGGGGTGCGCGCTCCCGGCGCGGCGCGCCCCCGTGGGCGGGAACGCGCGGCTCGTCGCCGCCGGGCTGCCAGGCACGACACGGAGCAGCCCGGCACGGCTCGGCCCGGCCCGGCCCGGCACCGCCCGCCGAGCCCCCCGCCCGCCTCCCGCCCACCCCCCGCGCCGCCATGGACGGGGGCGCCTTCGGAGCGGGGAAAGCCGGCGGCGCCTTCGACCCGCACGCCTTCATCCGGCAGCCGCACACCCTCCTGCGGCTCCTCTCCTGGGTAAGGCCCCGCCGGCACCGGCACCGGCACCGGCACCGGCACCGGCACCGGGGGGGCGGGGGCCTGCCGGGCTGCGGGGGGCACGGGCGCGGGGCTGCCCTGCGGGGTGGGGGGGGCTACCGGCCCCAACCCCGACCTCTCTGCACGCCTGCGTATGTGTTTTATAGAGATAAATATATAAAAAAAAAAAAAAAGTCACGATGTTCTAGGCTGTATATGATGATATATTTATTAGATATTATTATCTGGTTTGATATGTTTGCGTATGCATATGTATCAACACATATAGCTATGCATATGTCCATTGATATGGCTCCACACCTCTATATCTGTACACACACATGTACGTGGATGCACCTCCGTAAGTGTTTATGGGTATATGTGTGTGTATATATATATATATATACACACACATATATATATGCATGTATGTTTGGATACATGGATCTATCTCTGGGTTAACACATCTCCATATGTTCGAGTCTCCATATATACCTCCACATATACGAGCACACACAGATGTACAGCTCTATGTACATATATATCCGTGTGCATGGCTATAGGGCCGCGTGGGGTGAGAGCGCTCTGGTTTGGGGTTTCTTCCCCTGGGAGGGAAGGAGCGAGCTGGGTTGGACCACGACCCCATCGCCAGCTCTGCTTTTTTGGGGGGCAGTGGTGGGGTCTTCTCCCCCCCCACCGTGCCGGTGGGTTTATGGTGGGCATGGGGAGGGGTGTGGGGTGATGGGGGGGGAACTGGGGGGGATGCGGCAGTCCTGGCGTTGCTTCTCAGCGGTTTGGGGGCTTGGAGGGGTGCTGGGTTCTGGCTGTGCCGGGGCCAGTTGGGGGGGGCTCTGGGGGGGCTGGATGTCAGTCTGGTTTTCATCCTCTCCCCCCTCCAACCTCCTTTCCCTGTTACGCTTTCCTCCCTATAATTTGTGGGGAAGGGGGCAGAGGGGAAGGGGGGGGTCTAGCGGGGGCGGTGAGGATGCCAGGGGGGGGAAGGTTTCTCCCGCTTCCCGTGACACCGATCCCAGGGGTGCCCGTGGGGCCGGCGCATATGTGCAAGAAGGTCATTGGGATTAAGGGAACAAGAGCTGCAGCACCGAGCCGGCGGGGGAGAGATTGAGGTCTCGTCCGGGAGCAGGGAAGGGAGGGCAGAGAGAGAGAGAGCGGAGGAGACACATGCGCACCGGAGCTGTGAGGAGAGGCGTCAGGCTGGCTTTGGAGAAATAAAATAAAATAAAAGCAGTGCCAGCCGGGGGGAAACGAGGAAGGGAAGGGAAGGGTGGCCCAGCTTGCTGCTGGCGGTGGGGACGCAGCTCTTGTGCTCCCGGCCGGGTGGGTGGGTGATGTCTCCTCTGGGTGACGTGACTCGGAGGGCGGCCAGAGAGCCCCAAGACAGCCGAGGATGTGATTAATGCAGGCAGTCTGTCCATCCGTCCGTCCGTCCGCCTGAGCTTGTTTACAGTACACCACATCACGCCGGGAGCAGGCTGGGCGAGGGGGTACGTGTGCCCCCCGCTCCCGGGCGGGTGGAGCAGAGCCAGCCTGCGTGCCCGGGGATGATGGACGTGATGTGACCTACAAAGGCTCTCCCATTGCTAATCTCCGTGGCAGAATTTCCTCTTTCTCTCTCTCAGTCTAGTGGGTTTGGTTTGGTTTGTTTTTTTTTTTTTTTTTTTTTTTTTTCCCCTTCATCCAAGCACTGCGGGATTTTGGCTTCCCAGAGGCACCAGGTGAGGGAGAGAGAACAGGAAATATGTTTAGTTTTTAATTAGGCGCCTACTCTGCTTCAGAGTATCTCAGACCCTGTCAGCTTGCTCACCAAGCTCAGCTCTGCGCCCCACAGGGTCTCCCTGGGCAAGGACCGCTTCCCGGGGACTGGCATCTCCTTGGGACCCCGTGTTGTTTCCCCCAGCCCATCTGACCTTGACAGAGGACAGAACAGGATTTACCTGGGGCATGCCACTTGGCTGTGGAAATTAAGAGTCGTTTTGCAGGAGCTGGAGGTGCTCTAGGTCAGTGGTCCAGCAAGGGGGGCTGGCCTAGCCATCGCGGCACACGGCTATGTGTGCACCTCTTCTCTCCTGAAATACGACTTCCTTCTCCTGCTTTTCCACCAACTTGGTCTTGTCTGTCCTCCTGAGTATCTCTCCGTCCACAAAGCTGGGGAGCCATAAGCTCACCCCAGATATTTAGTTGTGGGTTTGGTCTTTTTTTATTATCTAGAGACCAAGAGGGTTCCTCGTGGGCACTGAAGTCCTATCTCATCATGTCACAAGCATCAGACTTTTTATGGCCCCTTCCACAAATTGGTTTAACTTTGCTGCAAAAAGACTAGTCCATGGGGTTTTTGCCCTTCTCCCTCCCTCTGGGAGAGGGTTCAGCGGCACCAACAGTCAGGGCCTTCCACCAGAAATCTATTCTTGGCCGGGTTTTTATCCATTTGCTTTTGTGCTCTTGTGCCCTTCAGTTTAAATGGTGCTTTTCCCTCCCTGGTGTTTTCCCCCGGGTGTATTTATAGACTGCGATTGCATCCACACTTAGCCTTTCTATTGCCAGGCTCTACGAGCCAAACTCTCCTGGTGGCGAAGGGCTCTCCCTCCCCGAGGTCCTTGTGAGACTCCTTCCTTTCACCTGCTCTTGCACGCACAGGAAGCACCTTGCCTGCCATCTCCTGAGATCTCATTTGCCTTTATCCTGCTCGTGGCGTGGGTGGTCCATCATCTCCCCAGGGCAAGCTGGAGACCCCTTTCAGCCCGTTTCACAGGGAGCAGAAATTCTCGCGATCGCTTCCCCAGGCAGTGACCTTGTGCTCAGGTCATGCTGCCTTTTAGCAGACTTTTATGATGGCACGGAGGTGCATATGGCCTTTTACCAACAGGCAGCAAAACTGGCTCATGCCCAGGGAGTTTGCAGCCCGGTTGAGATGGTGGCAAATCTCCAGGGAGAGCTGCAGGATCAGGAGCAGATGGGGTGACCAAAGATTATTTATGTTGCTCCTTGCTGAGGAGGAGATGGGATAGGTTTGAGAAGGATGCTAAACTATGGAAAGAGGTTAGCAATTCTGGCGCATCTCTCCACCGTGACAGTGTTGTGAGGCAGCTCATGTTTCCTGGGTGCTTTGGAGGTCAGGCACAGCAGAATAAGTATGCATCTCCCTAGGGAAAGGTTGCCTGGCATGGGTGCTGGCAGGTAGTGGTGGTCCTGCAGAGCATCCGTGTCAGGTTTGGATGTTCAGCCTCAGCGTGAGCCATTTCTCTACTGCTGCCTGCCCCAGATACACTTATCTGGATGAAGCAGCACCTTGTAGCGCAGGGAGGCAGCCCGAGAGAGCAGTGCCTCCTGAGCATCTCTGCTGAGGATGCCTCCAAGGGCATCTGGACCTTGCAGTGAGGGGACTTGTCCCAGTCTGGCTGGACTGAGGCTTGCACAACGAAAGCAGTGCGCCGCTGGAAGATCCCGGAGGCTTCCCCACCTCTGTGTGGGGAAGGGCAGAACAACTCCCTCCCTGTTCCCAGCGGTGGGCGGTGAAGAGAAGACAGGCAACTTGCCCTGTTGCGATGGGCGGCTGGGGTTTACTCCGAGCCCCGGTCTTTCAAGGCATTGCTCCACGCTGCGCCGCTTTGCTCGCTGCTGGCTGCAGCACGGACGTGTGCTCTGAGCTGAGCACAGCTAGCTCCCCACAGCACACGGGACATGGGTGCATGGGTGGGTTTTTTACCACCCTGCTACATAAACCTGCTTTTAGGCCGCTTAGGTGACCCAGCTGCTGGAGCTGGTGGTGCTACAGCTGGAGCTAGCGGAGCTAGGTGACCCACACCAAGCTGGGTACGTGGCTATGGTACGTGGCTCCAGGATCATTCTTGAAATAAAGCAGGTGAGCGTGGGCACATCCCTGCGTAATCCTCTCGCGCCCTGACCCACGGTACTCTCCACAGCCGGTGCGAGGGAGCTGGGAGGCTCCTTTGCAACCCGCAGGCGTTGGATGTAGCACTGGCTCCATAAATAAGTAAAATGCTAATTGAAACAGGTTGTTCCAGGCACTCCTGATTGCTTGGAAACCTGCTTGCTGGAGAAACCGAAGCGCTGCTCGATGTCAAAGCCTAACAAGGCAAAAGTAACTCGCTTTTTGGAAGCAGGCCCAGCTAGGTGGCTTGAGTGAGAGTCTTTCCAACTGCAGCCACGTAGGCAAAGCAGCCCATTAAAACTTGCCACATAGATTGAGACACCAAATCTCTCTCTTTCACCAAGGGCATTGCCCCTCTGGAGGGAGGTTTGGTGAGGAGAGGCGCTGCCTGCCCTCCGTCTCCTCCTCCATCATCTGTCGCCATTGCCACCGTGTCCCCTGGCTGGTGGGAGCACACTGACATTTCGAGCTGGGGTGGGAAGCGCTGTCCCCTGTCTCTGCAGGCACGGCACATCCCAGGCAGCTCCGGCTGGGCAGGCAAGGCAGGTGATGGATGGGAACCGCATCCCCGGCCTCGCTACGACAGGCTGGCGCCTGCGAGCTGGAGGATGGGGGCAAGCCCTGGTGTGGCAGGGAGCCCCCTCTCCTGCCTTGCCGGTGGGTCCTGGCTCGCCACGCTGACACCCTGCTTACGACACCCTTTGTCTCTTCCCCCCCACGCTGCCCTTTGCCATATGGAAAGGTCACCCAGCATGGGCTTCCAGTGGCAGTTAAACCGAGCCTTAGAACCCCAGGGCCACATTAGTCTGAAACCAGATGCAAACTCCACCTTCTTTCTGTCCTGGCTAAATTTAACTGAGGTGTTCCCCATGCTCGTGCTCTCTGCGTCTGATCCTCCACGTGACTTTTGCTCCAGCCACCACGTTTGCTGGCTGCGTGCTTGAGAGATATGTTGGCGCACAACGAAAGGAGCACGACAATTCCAAGCATGTGCTTTGAGTCAAGCCCTAGCTGTGGTTCTTCATTGGATCCCCTTCCTTGGGTCAGCTTCAGAAGGGTTTTTTGGGGATCATTGTCATCGGGATTGGGT